TAAGCCAATGAGCGATTACCACCTTTTATTACACAATAAGAAAGGAGAAAATAAACTACTCTTCTCACAGATTGGAAAAGAAAAATGAAAAATAACAAGGTCGGTGTTGGAAAACCATATATCCATCCATCCAAAATACAAAGTTTCAAGAAGGGGCAATGCTCCATTGTGTATTGTCATCAACTTCAGGCTTTTCAAGTGTCTGAGCCTGAGGTTCTTCAGTTTCAGAAATCATCTTTCAAAGTGCAACTCCTCACAACTAAACGCCTCATAGATATAAAGTTGCATCAAATTCGGTAGACATTGTAAGACTTTTAGGGGAACGTGATCCCCTGCTAGTCTCGACCAACATAAAGCTAATCGAGTTAAAAGACAAGGTCCTGCAATCCAATCAGGTAGCTTTTCTAGACGCCCCATCAACCGAGAGATTAAAGATGTTGAGGTGGAAAGGAGATACGTTGTAAATCAATAATTTCATCATCATTTATTGTTTTTACTTCCAATGTTTTCAAGTGAGGCATATTTCCAATGGATGTGCATAGATCTTTCCCACGTGCTCATGTTTGCCCTTTCTGCTTTTGCATCTGCATCCTTTAGGAAAGACGTCATGCTCTCTAGGAGATCTTTTAGACTTGTAACCTAGTCATGGATACCTTTCAAAAAAGTCCCATCTTCTCTTAACAATGGAACCAACTTGTCAATGACAATGTTCACCGCTATATCCGTCGTTGCTCGCTATATATGAGGGAAAAATAAAGGCAAAAATAATTACGGATAACTCGTATTGAAGGAACATCGTTGAAGTAATTCAATATTTTATTTTTAGAGACTAATTCAATATTTTGTGATATCTTGTCCGCCAAAGAAATTTAAAATTAAATAAAAAACTGATGAGCAAATCACAAATATGACATAATCTTTGTTTGAGAATACCAAGTAAAATCAACAACATAATCAAAGAAATGTTTGCAAAGTCCAAGGTGAGCCAATGAGACATTGCACCTTTCATTACATAATAAGAAAAGGAGAAAATAAACAACTCTGCTTACAACTTGAAAAAGAAGAAAAATAACAAGGTTGGTGTTGGAAAGCCATATATCCATCCATCCACTTATGAATGATTGCTACACTTGCTGCTTCCTTCCTTGCAAAGGTCTCGCCCATTACACAAAAATCACTGAATCTATTACTTTCACGGTTCTGAATCTATTATTACCTTTTGTGTTCCGAAACAAAACTCTGGGACCGACACGATGCTCTATTTTTCTACCATGAATCACATCCATGAAATGTGAAGGCATATCAACGAATATTAGATATTTAAGATTTCCGAGGTGGCGATCCTGTTGCAATTGCGGACTAGGTCCAAAATACAAAATTTCAAGAAGGGGCAGTGCTCCATTGTGTATTGTCATCAACTTCAAGCTTTTCAAGTGTCTGAGCCTGAGGTCCTTCAGTTCAGAAATCCTCTTTCAAAGTGCAACTCCTCACAACTCAACGCTTCATAGATATAAAGTTGCATTAAATTGGGTAGACATTGTAAGACTTTTAGGGGAACTTGATCCCCTGCTAGTCTCGACCAACATAAAGCTAATCGAGTTAAAAGACAAAGTCCTGCAATCCAATCAACAGCTTTTCTAGACGCCCCATCAAACCAAGAGATTGAAGATGTTGAGGTGGAGAGGAGATACGTTGTAAATCAATAATTTCATCATCATTTATTGTTTTTACTTCCAATGTTTTCAAGTGAGGCATATTTCCAACGGATGCGCACAGATATTTCCCACGTGCTCATGTTTGCCCTTTCTGCTTCTACATCTGCATCCTTTAGGAAAGACGTCATGCTCTCTAGGAGATCATTTAGACTTGTAACCTAGTCATGGATACCTCTCAACAAATTCCCTTCTTCCCTTAACAATGGAACCAACTTGTTAATGACAATGTTCACCGCAGTCTCCGTTGTTGCTCGCTATATATGAGGAAAAAAATTAAAGCAAAAATCATTATGGATAACTCGTGTTGGAGGAACATCGTTGAAGTAATTCAATATTTTATTTTTTAAAAGACTAATTCATATTTTGTGATATCTTGTCCGCGCAAAGAAATTTAAAATAAAATTAAAAACTAATGAGCAAATCACAGATATAACATAATCTTTGTTTGAAAATACCAAGTAAATCAACAACATAATCAAAGAAAAGTTTGCAAAGTCTAAGGTGAGCCAATGAGCCATTCCCACCTTTCATTACATCATAAATAAATAAAAGGAGAAAATAAACTACTCTTCTTACAACTTGGAAAAGAAAAATGAAAAATAACAAGGCTGGTGTTGGAAAGCCATATATCCATCCATTCACTTATGAATGAGTGCTACACTTGCTGCTTCCTTCCTTGCAAAGGTCTTGCCCATTACATGAAAATCGATGAATCTATTACTTTCACGGTTTTGAATCTATTATTACCTTTTGTGTTTTGAAACAAAACTCTGGGACTTACACGATGCTCTGTTTTTCTAACAAGAATCACATCCATGAAATGCGAAGGCATATCAACGAATATTAGAGATTTAAGATTTCCGAAGTGGAGGATGCTGAAGGGCACCTGTTACAGTTGTAGACTAGGTTCCAAATACAAAGTTTCAAGAAGAGGCAATGCTCCATTGTGTATTGTCATCAACTTCATGCTTTTCAAGTGTCTGAGCCTAAGGTCCTTCAGTTTTGGAAATCCTATTTAAAAGTGCAGCTCCTCACAACTAAACGCCTCATAGATATAAAGTTGCATTAAATTGGGTAGACATTGTAAGACTTTTAGGGGAACGTGATCCCCTGCTAGTCTCGACCAACATAAAGCTAATCGAGTTAAAAGACAAGGTCCTACAATCCAATCACGTAGCTTTTCTAGACGCCCCATCAAACTGAGAGATTGAAGATTTTGAGGTGGAGAGGAGATACGTTGTAAATCAATAATTTCATCATCATTTATTGTTTTTACTTCCAATGTTTTCAAGTGAGGCATATAAACAATGGATGCGCGTAGATCTTTCCCCTGTGCTAATGTTTGCCCTTTCTGCTTTTGCATTTGCACCCTTTAGGAAAGACGTCATGCTCTCTATGAGATCTTTTAGACTTGTAACCTAGTCATGGACCTCTCAACAAATTCCCATCTTCTCTTAACAATGTAACCAACTTGTCAATGACAATGTTTACCAGTGTCTCTGTCGTTGCTCGCTATATATGAGGGAAAAATTAAGGTAAAAATGATTATGGATAACTTGTATTGAAGGAACATTGTTGAATAATTCAATATTTTATTTTTAAGAGACTAATTCAATATTTGGCGATATCTTGTCCTGAAGAAATTTAAAATTAAATAAAAACTGATGAGCAAATCACAAATATTACATAATTTTGTTTGAGAATACCAAGTAAAAATCAACAACAAAATCAAAAAATGGTTTGCAAAGTCCAAGGTGAGCCAATGTGCCATTGCCACCTTTCATTACATAATAAGAAAAGGAGAAAATAAACTACTCTTCTTACAACTTGGAAAAGAAAAATGAAAAATAACAAGGTTGGTGTTGGAAAGCCATATATCCATCCATCCACTTATGAGTGAGTGCTACACTTGCTGCTTCCTTCCTTGCAAAGGTGTCGCCCATTACACGAAAATCGTTGAATCTATTACTTTCACGGTTAAGAATCTATTTTTATCTTTTATGTTCCGAAACAAAACTCTGGGATCTACACGATGCTCTGTTTTTCTGACACGAATCACATCCTTGAAATGCGATGGCATATCAATGAATATTAGAGATTTAAGATTTACGAGGTGGCGGATGCCAGAGGGCACCTGTTGCAATTGCGGACTAGGTCCAAAATACAAAGTTTCAAGAAGGGGAATGCTCCATTGTGTATTGTCATCAACTTCAGACTTTTCAAGTGTCTGAGCCTGAGGTCCTTCAGTTTCAGAAATCCTCTTTCAAAGTGCAACTCCTCACAACTCAACGCCTCATAGATATAAAGTTGCATTAAATTGGGTAGACATTGTAAGACTTTTAGGGAAACATGATCCCCTGATAGTTTTGACCAACATAAAGCTAATCGAGTTAAAAGACAAAGTCTTGCAATCCAATCAGGTAGCTTTTCTAGACGCCCCATCAAACCGAGAGATTGAAGATGTTGAGGTGGAGAGGAGATACATTGTACATCAATAATTTCATCATAATTTATTTTTTTACTTCCAATGTTTTCAAGTGAGGCATATTTCCAATGGATGCGCATAGATATTTCCCATGTGCTCATGTTTGCCCTTTCTGCTTCTGCATCTGCATCCTTTAGGAAAGACGTCATGCTCTCTAGGAGATCTTTTAGACTTGTAACCTAGTCATGGATACCTCTCAACAATTCCATTCTTACCTACAATGGAACCAACTTGTCAATGACAACGTTCACTGTAGTCTCTGACGTTGCTCGCTATATATGAGGAAAAAATTAAGGCGAAAATCATTATGGATAACTCGTACTAGAGGAACATCGTTGAAGTAATTCAATATTTTATGATATCTTGTCCACCAAAGAAATTTAAAATAAAATTAAAAACTGATGAGCAAATCACATATATGACATTATTTTGTTTGAGAATACCAAGTAAAATCAACAAAATAATCAAAGAAATGTTTGCAAAGTCCAAGGTGAGCCAATGTGCCATTGCCACCTTTCATTACATAATAAGAAAAGGAGAAAATAAACTACTCTTCTTACAACTTGGAAAAGAAAAATGAAAAATAACAAGGTTGGTGTTGGGGAAGCCATATATCCATCCATCCACTTATGAGTGAGTGCTACACTTGCTGCTTCCTTCTTTGAAAAGGTCTCGCCCATTACACGAAAATCGCTAAATCTATTACTTTCACAGTTCTGAATCTATTATTACCTTTTGTGTTCCTAAACAAAACTCTGGGACATACACAATGCTCTGTTTTTCTAACAAGAATCACATCCATGGAATGCGAAGGCATATCAACGAATATTAGAGATTTAAGATTTCCGAGGTGGCAGATGTCGGAGGGCGCCTGTTGCAATTGCAGACTAGGTCCAAAGTACAAAGTTTCAAGAAGGGGCAATGGTCCATTGTGTATTGCTATCAACTTCAGGCTTTTCAAGTGTTTGAGCCTGAGGTCCTTTAGTTTCAGAAATCCTCTTTCACAGTGCAACTCCTCACAACTCAACACCTCATAGATATAAAGTTGCATTAAATTGGGTAGACATTGTAGACTTTTAAGGGAACGTGATCCCCTGCTAGTCTCGACCAACGTAAAGCTAATCGAGTTAAAAGACAAAGTCCTGCAATCCAATTAGGTAGCTTTTCTAGAAGCCCCATCAAACCGAGAGATTGAAGATTTTGAGGTGGAGAGGAGATACGTTGTAAATCAATAATTTCATCATCATTTATTGCTTTTACTTCCAATGTTTTCAAGTGAGGCATATTTCCAATGGATGCACATAGATCTTTTCCCTGTGCTCATGTTTGCCCTTTCTGCTTTGCATCTGCATCTTTTAGGAAAAACGTCATGCTCTCTATGAGATCTTTTAGATTTGTAACCTAGTCATGGATACCTCTCAACAAATTCCCTTCTTCCCTTAACAATGGAACCAACTTGTTAATGACAATGTTCACCATAGTCTCCGTCGTTGCTCGCTATATATGAGGGAAAAATTAAGGCAAAAATCATCATGGATAACTCGTGTTGGAGGAACATCGTTGAAGTAACTAATCAAGCTATTGGGACTCATTTGAATTAGACCAAAAGAAAAGTTATTAGGATGTCATATTTCTGGTATGGTGGTCTGTTAAATATTATAGTTTGGTTGCTTTGGATATGCGAGGAGAAGAGAATAAAATGGCACAAGGGCTATTGTCAAGTTGTCACTTTACATTAGCAGAGAACAGACCCAGAACATACCTAGACTTTTTCGTGTTCACACTCAGACTTTTTCGTGTTCACACTCAAGGGCCGCCATTATAGGGCTCTCTCTTCAGTCTATAATCTAGGCCCAACTTAATTATAAAAAATAGGGTCAAAATTTTAAAAGGCCCAACCGAATCAAAACTTGTATTCTCATCTTTTATAAGGTTTTTGCTCTTCTTCTGCAAGTGTCCCGAACTTTCACCTATAAGGAACGTTAATATTCATGTTTGTAATTCTAAGAGCTTGTCTAATGTAGGGGCAAGGGGCAAGGGGCAAGGGGCAAGGGATTAGATGCTGTTTTGGCCTTTTAAAATGGTACCATTTATAAAATCTAGCATGTCAATTTTTGTGTGGTTCTAGTGGTGGTGAGGGACTAAGGGCTAAAACTCAAAACTTGTTATTTTAGTTTATTATTATTTTATTTGTGATAAAAATTAAAGTATAAGAAAAGCAACACAAACATTTATTTTTGGGAAACAATTTGCGTCATATTTTGGAACAACAATTTTGAGCAAAATGAAAAAAGACAATAATTAGAAATGTTTGGAGTAATTGAGAGATTTTTTAGGTGAGAAGGTGATGAACAAATGGTTAGGTTTTTATAGAGTTATGAGGAAAAAAAAGGGCCAGCAATTGGCCGTTGGGCTGCTGCATTTGAGAGCGCCATGTGACAGCTTCTCAATGGCTGTTGGTGTCAGCTTTTCCTACTCCTTTTTTTCTTTTCAAAAATTGACAGTGAACTCCTTATTTTGCCCAGGCCAACAAGTAGGCAAAACCAGCTCATTATCTTGCCTTAGGCCAAACACATATATTAGAAAGTAATTTTTTTCATTTAAGGCCAGATCTGGACCTAGCCCAGGTCAGATCAGTCTCACTAGAAATGATGGTGTGATACTGATCTTCTGTAGAGTACTCAAATGGAGTCAACTATCAACAACCTTGATTAAAAGCACCACTTGTATGTCATTTTGGAGACATTGATGAGATTATTATTAATTTATCTCTTCATTAAATTCAAATTTACCATTTTGCGTTTAACATCTCCCTTAGAAGTACTCTTACGTGATAAGTTTTTGCCAGTTAGATGGGGCTGCACTGTCTCTATCTCCACATGCATCTATTCTCTTCACAATGGTAGCTTGATATATGTTCTAAGTTATTGGGATCTAGTGGTTGACATAAGCAGGAAAAGATTCTACAACACTAATTAACTTCACACAATTGAGGTCCAATCCAACTACATTCGGAAAACAGAATTTTTTTCTTAAATGAGAAATCTGTGAGACCAAGGTATGTGTTGGATATTGAAGGTTCAAGGAAGCACTGGATATTGTATGTTCAATGTTCTACTGGTAACGGTTCCGGTAGGCCACTAGAACATGGTGTTCCAATTATCCAAGATGATAATTTACATTGCATATATCTATCCCATTCCTTGCAAGCACGATCTATGTCTTGATGCGTCTTTATTCCATGCTACTTATCCTGGGGCGATCATCATTTCCTGCAATAAATATGACAAAAGAATAAAGGTCTATCACTCAAATTGATGACAACTCAACTGATAAAAAGAATAATTGGGAGCTGATATATATTCCCACGTTAAAACCAAAAAGGCAAATGCCTTTGGCATGAGAATAGGTTTCGATGGTTCAAAACAGACTTTCAAAACACGAAACTTACAAAGATGAGAAAATAAGCAGATGCATCATGTGATAAGAATACATCTTATCGGTGATCCTTCTGCACCTGGCAACCTCAAAGGTTAGCAGCGGACAGAATATATTCCTGGTTGGATGTCATCAAGTTTTAAGGCTTCAACAAGAATGATTTCCTGATACATTAGAGCAGTGGTTAGTGTAGAGTATTAAAACTACCTCTTCTTTTGGTGCTAAACTAATTAATGTTGGACAGTGGCTGGATGGCAACAAACAATCTACCAACTGGAACGAATCCTACTAAAACAGTCATGATCTCGAGAAACCACTTTTTTCTTGATTCATCAAATATTTTTCTTACCCTGCCTTCTAGAAAAACAAGGTGGGACGGAATCAAATCATCATATGCAGCAACAGACAAGTAATCAATTCCTACGTTTCATAACAGAAAATAGCATGAGCTTCAGATGAGGAACAAAAATGATAATATAAAAAGCAAGGAAATCAACAGTCTCCCACCTAAAAAGAACTCAAATACAAGACTATATTACCCTAAATACAAATGCACACTGAACAATAGTGTCACTGTTTCAAACGAATATTAGGAAACTAATGTTTCACAGAGAAAGTTCTCACTCAATAAAAGGAATATAAGGGGCATGGAATACATCTTGCATTATCTACTTAATTTTTTTTAAAAGGAATTATGTACTTAAACTTAATAGATGCCTGTTAAGTTCGATCAACCTGACAAATAAATCTGTTGAAAAACTATATGTTATGCCAAAAAAGAAAAGGCTTAGTCATTGTTTTCTCCACTGTACATTTATTCAAATCTCACTTTACCCGCTTTATTTAACTTTGTACCTCGCCTTGCCCTATTCTGTCAATCCTGTTAAAGAATTCATTAACAGGGGTAAGGTGAGACAGTCGAAAGTGCAGGGGGTAAAGTGAGATTTGAAAAAGTATAAGGGAAAAACAATAATTAAGCCAAAGAGAAATGCAAACGTATATCTCACCAACAAGTTAATGTCAGTGTTGTCCACCAACCACCGTGCTCCATCCTTCATAAATCCCACATAGCTGCTGTCAAACTCCTTTTGGAACATAAGCCGTCTAAAATTGCAGTAAGCTCTAGTTAATATTCAGCAATAGTTTCAGACTTACGAATCAAATTGAATTAGTGGAAACTTCAGTAGTCCAATCATTGATGAAATCAAGTTTTGGGAAAATATATGAATAAGGTCACCTCAGACACAACATTTTCCTTGTTTATCCGAAAATGGCTAGTTGAACAAACAAGGCATTCTTATTCATGGGAATCATCATAGTTACTAGAAACTACTGACTAAGGGATCAAATTGTAATCATGGTAACTACTGACTAAGGGATCAAATTATAATCATGGGAATCATCATAGTTACTAGAAACTACTGACTAAGGGATCAAATTATAAACCATCTAACAATATCTGACAGGTAAAAGACCATAAGCACTACAATTATACAACATAACTGTGGAGCTGCACATGATGTTTCGTATGCATATGGTATCTTTATGTGCAAAAACGTAATTGAGAGTGTTAACTTGATATAAATTGTTGGTCAATTAATAAGTTTTTAGAGTCAAATAGTCGTCGAACATGACATCTGAGCTCTCGTTCCTTGAGGATTTACTAGAAAACTATATAGAATTATATTACATGTATGTACATATAAATCCCCAAAACTTTCTTGATGCATTAATAGTTCGTGGGCATTACCAAATTCCGCTATCCCTACAACAAAAAGGATATATGAAGATGTGAAGAGGACCGCATTAAGCCCCATGTGGTTACACTTGAAATAGCTGGAGAGCCTATTGCATGTATATATTAATCCCAGATGTAAAATTTAACAACGTAAAACCATATGCATCAATTTGCATCATGAAATAACTATTCTTTTAGATTTTTATCCGAGGCAAACCAAAGAGCCTCTGGCCTTTATGGCCTCGTACCATACCACAACAACTCCAAAACGATCCATAAACTATTTTGGTTTTTTTTTTTTTTTTTTTTTTTTTTTTTTTTTTAATTTTTTTTTTTTTATTTTTTCATACAAAAAACAAAGCCCGTGACTATTGTCATAGATTTATAGTACACTATTAGAGTTGGTGTGCCATCAACTCTTTCCTTCCACATCCACTTTCCCCCCAAAACAGAAAAAAGAAAAGAAAAGAAAAAAAGGAATGAAGAAGAAGAAGAAGAAGAAGAAGAAGCTTCACAGGTGTGATATCCTGGATTAAACTGTGAATCATAAATAAGGAAATGGCAGAAATCGCAATGAATTACTAACTATTAACTCTACTGCTCTGCACCTACAGCTTGAGGTTAGACTAGTCCTTGAGCTTTGTCTTTTTATTTTTATTTTTATACAAATAACATTAGAGAAATGAGAATCGAATATATGATCTCGGGTGCATCTAGGTAGATGCTTTTAACCTATGATCCCACTGCAACCTTGAGCTTCTTCAATAGTGCATCTCCATACTAGGCCTTAAAAGTTTGATTTATAGTTGGAGTTACAAAATAATTATATCTTCGCAGGACAAGAGTTCAATTATAATTCTT